TGCTGAAGTGTTGGCAGCTCTCCAGGAAACACACAGTACAGAGCTGCTATTGTGGGATGGAAAAGGACAAGGACAGAGGGTGAGATGAGCTTAAACAGATCAGGTTGCACAGCATAAATTAGCAAGGCTGTCATTATCATGAGTATTGGACTTGTGGTTTATCATCATAATTTTTTGGTCTTTGGGATTATTTGTTTATATTGTGGCAAAACGCAAATAATGGTGATTGACATCTAATCTCTTTCGTTTATCTTTTGCTTCAAAACCAACAAATCCCCCAAGCTGTGTGTGCTATTAGGATTTTTTATTTTGTTGCAAAAATTCTTTGTGGTGATGTTAAACCAAAACAAAAGTACTGCAGTTATCAATATCATAAAATATAACCTCTAAAATATTTCTAATTCATCTGAGACTCTACTAAGGACTGGGCAAAATGAATGAAATTAACCTTGAAATATATTCAAAATATATTTTATTTAGTTTAATAAATTATTTGGCAGTTTATGTTGCAGATTTGGCACATTGATGTCAGTCCTCCATGTGTCTGCCTAGCAAACAATAAATATGACCAATGTAATAAACTTGGAGACAAAATGTGAAGTTTTAGCAGTAATCTTTGGAAATATCCATAGAAATGTTGTGGAAAATTAATAAAATAATGTCCAGTACAAAATATTGGCAGCTTTGTACCATATAACCATAAATATTGGGTCTAAAGTGCATAGGGGTGCAGGTCTAGCGTCTTTAGGGGACACCGTATTAGACGCCATGTTTCTTTCTGTCACACGCTAGTCGATGACTGCTCACTAGATGATTTTCTGGACGTACAATTTACGGAAGTTACGTTACGACGTTCAGAAACATTTAAGCAATAAGAGACATTAATTTAAAAACAAAGCTGTTGAACATATGTGACAGAACAGAATAAAAAACGACGGGCACTATATTATGGCCGAGCGGTATTGTCATAGTCGGATGACTTCATCGGCAGGCGCAGGACCGCGAGCAGATCCAGAAACTACAGCACCAGAAAACTACAATCAGCATTGCCTTCTCTTGATGGAATTAACTAAAAGACCATCAAAGTCTGACGAGTTACGCCAAGGTTGCATGCTTTCTGCTCCACAGGTAACATTTACCATAATGTCAAACTACCGACAATCACGGCAATATGGTGTAAAGGAAACTGCACACTGCCACTTAAATGTATGTCAGTAGGTATATGTCTGTTTGACCGGGTGTGTCTGTTCATGCATTTCAAGTCAAACCCTGTTTAACGTGTGCAAACATTCTGACAAAGTAAAGTAACAGAGGTATTTGTTCTGTTTATTTTTCTAACTGAACTCTTGTGTGGTTCTGCTTCCCGTTTTAAGCTTCCTATATGTTTGGCCAGAATGCTCGTACATTTTTCTAAAACAAAATAAGACCAAAGATTTTATGGGAAGTGAATGCGTGACAACAGCTAACACAGTAAGAATTTTAAGCCTACTCTTAGCATTTTTCTGTCAAACATAAAATCAAATGGTGTAAAGAAATCTTCAGTAGTGCAGAACTCTTTCAAAGCTTGATAGGAGCCTGTGCTTGTTAGCTCCAACCCAAAGAACAACCTTCACAGGATCTGTGAAGACCGTTAAGGAGACCAATGATCAGTTACAATGTTTTTAGTGTCAAGCTTAGAAAATGTTGTGGTTGTTCAGTCCTTGGTTAATTTCAAGAAGGAACAATAACTGTAATGCTTAGCTTTCTGGCAGAAGTGGAAGAACATTAGCTCATTGTTTTAGATGTTAGTTTTAATATCGCCAACCAGTACACCACACAGAGCTGCATTCATAATCGCTACTGCAAGCTGAATTTACAATTGGCCTTCACAACTGCATATTAGAAAATGATTGCGCCTTTTAATCTCACCAGCTGGCATTTTACAGATCTGAGTCCAAATGGTGTGGGGAACTCCTGTTTGGATTTCATTTCCTGAATAAATTTCAGTGGTTGGGAAAGCCAGTTGAGACTGAAAAGTGTTCACAAACACCAACTGTTGTTTAGAGCAGCTTTTATAAACTATACTGATGACATAAATACAGGGATAACAAGGCAGACTCCATGATCTGTGTAGATAAACGATCTCTCTGTTCCTTTGGTCCTTTGCCAAAACTCAAAATACACAAGAAAGAGTTTAAAACATTTACTGGAAAGACTTTTGATGTGACGTAATGACGGCAGCCTGTGGTGACACTGAATGTGGAAAGACAAACTGGTTGTTACTGGTTTAGGAGAACCAGTTAAGATTTGGCTCTAGTGCTAACCCATAATGAGCACTGCTTTGGTGGAAAATGTTCCTATGAAGTTGTTCACGATCAGAGATGGTGGTGAACTGATTCACAGGTCAACGAGAAGTGGAAATTAAAACTGTGAGGCTTAACTCTTCAAAACGTGAACTAACATATGTCTGTGGTTATAAAGTAGATGAAAATAGATTATGCTAGGTGTTGTTGTGGTTTAGATACAACCACAACGTTATGGATCAGTTAGCCAGCACATAAAGGGAGTTGAAGAAATGGTGGGTGACCTCATTTAAAATAAAAAGCAAAGAAATGCTGTATTTATTTATTTATTTATTTTTGTTTTGTTTTTACTTATACTTTTCTGGAAGATAAACTGCTTGAGATGTGACATCTCGTTTTTATACAATACAATAGTAATAAGTAGAAACAAAATGTTTACAAGTCGGCATCATATGGTAATAAACAGTGCAACAAAATAGGCGAAATGATGAAAAAGATCTTAATTCAGCTGATAATTTATTCCAGTCCTAAGGAGCTTTAACGCAAAAAATATCTTCCCACTTATATTTTTAACCGAGGTATTTCTAATGAAAGCTTCATCAGTCATACGGGTCTAATACCAAGAGATATTGGGAACTACTTGCAAATAGGATGGAAAATCTAAATAAATGACAACCAATGAAATTGTGGTCTAGCTTTCAAGGGCAACCAAGAGAGATGTAAACACATGTAACAGTGGTGAATATCGAAAGGATACTGCAAAGTCAGTTTGCACTGAAAACTGTATTGATTATTCAAGGTTTCATTTGTCACCAAGCATCACACACGAGGTTAACTCTCACTTCAATAGCAATGCACAAAGTTTAGCATCTTTTCTGTAGGTTCTATAGAGAGCCCAAGTCACACCCATCTACTTCTGGACCATGGGTCCCTGGATGAATGCAAAAATGAAAGAAAGTCAATAGGGCTACAAAAAATTCCGTTTGTTATGTGACATGGATTTCACATATGACGTCTTTGAATTTATAAGACACATTCTGTTGCCAATAAAGCATTTATTTTCGAATGGAGACAAAGTTATTTTAAGTTATGTGAGAAATTACATCCAGGACTACAAATGTGCATCACCAAAGTGACATCATAGAATCAGACATGGAGAAAAGCAGAGAAAAAATGGCTGCAAGTTCAGCTAGCTTTACATCCTTTCGTCGGTAGGAAAGAACCAGCATAAATCTGACCATTTGGTAAGTAGCAACTATGCTAGAGGAGAGGAGGTTATGTGGTGACATCACATTTGCAACGTGCCAATGTCTGGTTTGTGGTCATGCCAATTAAACATTTTTACAAGCCGATAATTCTCTAAAGTACGTGACGGGTGTGGTCGAAACACACACTACTTTTCATCAAAGTACAACTTGTGTAGCATTCAGGGCATAAAGCAAAGCAGATTAGAAAATAACTCCTTTTAGCCCCGTTCAATGGCATTCCTATTTTCATTGTTCTGGCGACCCATGATTCAACTGGAAAGGGAGGAGACTCAGGCTCCCTGTGTGCTCAAATCATACAAATATAAGTAAAGCTTCATAAGTTTCATTTTTTTTAACTGTTCCTCAGATGAGCACTGGTCAATATTGGCTGGGTGTCAACGTACACTGATCTTATTCATCCATCTTCGTTCACTGTTTCCATCCCCACCCACCCTCAGCCTCCACTCACAGGGTGTGTGCTGTGGTGTGAGGCAGCTGCAGTGTAGCCGTGCTTTCATCGCTCACTCTCTTGTGCATGTCAATTCACCCTGCCTGACTTCCAGACAACAGTCTTCCTCTGTGCTCCTTAATCGTGGCTTTAAAACCGCTTAGAACATTGAAGGCTGTGACGGAGCGCCTGGCTGTGCTGACATTGCAGGGATACATTCTTGTTTCCTAGTCTCCCCTCTTACTTTTGCCCTTCCTCCTTTGCTCTGGTCTCCGCTTTCTTATTATGTCATCTTTTTTCCTCTCTTCTACTCGTCAGTCACTTCCTCTCCACTCTGCTCGCCGACCAGCCCTTTTCAACTGAGTCAGAACTGTTTGACGTCCCTGTTGCTGCTGCTTTTTTCATCTTGTGAGCGTATGTGTTTGCAGATTTTCTCAGAGAACCTGAGAGTCTCAGGGAAGCTGCAAAAGGATGATTCTATTGGAAGAAAATCCCAAAGAGAGGTTTTAGCTTTGAGTATGACATTTTATTTCTTTTGTGCTCATTTAGAGTTGGACCAAGGGAGGAATGTGGGTGTTTGATGACAAATAAATGGTCTTGTGATTTTGAAGCTAAATTACTGCAATTAGCTAGAGAACCACCCAAATAAGATCCACTGGTGAAGGGAATTGCCCAATATTCAATAAAGTTGGCTTACTTGGTCAGTCGGAAACTCAAAAGTCTGATTTCCCCATTTGTGACTGCACCATTACCAAACAACAATAAGGCATTTTCCTCACTCTGAACTCACCATCTATAAACTCCAATAATTTCTACTTCGAGTCATATTTTTGTTCTAATTTTTTTTTAATTTCTAATGTAATTAATTTTTTATGCAGATCAAAATCTTTAGAAAAGATCAACGATACAGACACTAATCTCTGCTATTCAAATGAAATTATAAGCATTGCTCTGAGTTTAACGCTGTTGTTAATTATTTTTTTAAAGAAAAATAAAAGTTGAATTTTCTTTTTTGTTCCACAGGCGGAATCTCACCAAGCTGTCATTGATCTTTAGTCACATGCTGGCTGAGCTGAAAGCCATCTTCCCCAACGGTCTCTTTCAGGGTGACAACTTCCGCATAACCAAAGCAGATGCTGCAGAATTCTGGAGGCGCGCCTTTGGGGACAAGTAAGCACTTTTGTGTGACTTTTTCTATTAAAAAAAAAACACTGTCCTTGGACTTCCAGCATTTTTCTAAGGAAATGTACCCTTCTAAAAGAAAGCTACACAGTCAGAGGCCATATTGGTCATAATTGACAGCAATAGCAATCCTTTTGTGCTTGTGTTATTTGTGATAACACATCAATGTTGCATCGTTTACCCAAGAAGTTTGTATATCATGAATATTAATCAATAAGATTTGTAATCCTGTTTTTCTGCACTACTGCGACTGAAGCTTGGTTTATACTTCATCTCAGGGGTGGGGAGACACAACGTAGGGCTGTAGCGAAGCCTCGACGAAGTCGACGGCTCGATTCTAAAAATTTGTCGACGTCAGATCCGGAAGTCGACGCACCGCGCCCACTTGTTGCATCCCCAGGAGTTTGTAAATAGAGGAGGAATCTGCCTGTTTTTCCTCTAGTTCGCCCTCTTCTCCGCCTTCACTAACATCTCCGCCAAATACCGAAGACCCGGAACAACGTCCGTCCACTACTAGATTATTTTCCTGTTTTGCCCCTTCGTCTCCCGGCAACGGACAACAACTTCCGGGGTCAGATGCGCTGCTTCGTGTCTACCGCAGATGTAGAAAATCACCGGGAGCGTTTCTCCCTTCATAAAGGAGCTTCTTTCAGACATTAGGAGAGCTGTTTTGGTGGTAGCAGTCTCTCCTCCATGCTGGTCTGTTTGCTGCTGGGTGTTTTTGGTTTATTTAAACTTGGTAACTTGAACTTAATGTTGGTAAAGCTACTGTTAGCATCTTCGCTAACAGCTTCTTGCGTTGGGATAAGCTGTTACGTTTTGGTTTAGAGTTAATCTTTTTTGTGGTGTAGATCTCCCTTTTATTACATTTAGAGTGTTGTGGGTTTTCGGTTTAGTGTAAAATATCACCTGAGTTTGGTTTAACCCGTAACACCACTCGCCTCACGCACATAAGTGACCAAAACAAAGCAGCATGGAGACACTCCATCTTCTACCACCTCTCAGGCAGCAGCCTGCACTCCCAAGTTCTAAACGTCACCAGAACATAACCAACCGCAACACAATAAAAGCAGTGTTATACAAAATGGAAGGCCTGTAGTGTTTATTCTCTTACAGTAAGAATTTATCAATTTATTTGAGATTTTCTGGTTTTTGTTAATTGTGCAATAGAAAAATAATCATTAGATTAATTTTCTAAATAGTCATTAGAATAGTCGACTATTCGATAAAATAATCGTCAGAATAATCGTTTTAAAAATAATCGTTTACCCCCAGCCCTAACACAACGTCATTGTCTGTCATCGCAAGGGCTCTCCAACAGGCACACAAGGACAGACAGAGTAGAGCCCAATTCCATCAAGCAATGGAGACTGCAAGCCTCTGATTGTTCAGGATGCCGCTTCCTTTAGCTCTGTCAATGGCACTGCCCCCCCCCCCCCCCCCCCCCCCCCCCAAAAAAAAAAAAAGAATTAAACAAGTGTCAAAGATATCTAGTGGCAGATGCGGAGCAGGTTAAAGAATGTCTCGTGGACAGTCAACGTCAATACAACCGTGACTGAAGCCGTACAAAGATACACAGTAAACTTTTTATTTGTGTCAGGAAATTACAGTAAACGTAGGTTTGGAGGTGGCGACTGCATGAAGAAGTGGAAGAGAATGAGGGACAAATTTGCCCATGTTAAAAAGTCTCTGAAATGCATAAACAGTGTATTCTCACAGTAATAAATGACCTCTCACTGCAATGGTGGCAGGATACTCCAGAAAAGCGCTATGCCCTCTGTTGTCCTGGCGGATAAATGCTTCACAACACTGGCACACCAATGGAGAAGTATAAATAGGGATGTCTCTGTACAACTTCTTCACTTCCGATACGATACCGATATTGCAGCCTTCAGTATTGACCGATGCCGATATCAGTCTGATACGATATCAGCACAAATCATACATGCTTTTACCCATTTTATAGTGTGGAATGTATGAAAGGCTTTATCAAGTGATATTACTCAATCGGAGAGCAAGAGCCAATAACAGTAAGTATGAAAAAAGACATCCCCAAGAATAAAAAATAAAGCATCTCCGCCAATAGGTGTGTGTTTGTATGAACTAGGCTTAACTTCTACCCCCTGAAATAAGAACATGAAAGCTTTTTTTCCACAGAAAACTATTCACAAGGCTTTCATCCAGACTAGTGGCCATGGCACATTTATTGAAAAGAAGGGGTGAATGAGACCTTTAACATCAAACCATTTCTATTTTTGGTCTGTCCAAGATATTTTGTCCCCAGCTCCCAACTTGCATTTGTAATAAGGTCATCCTTTTTTGTTGTAGAACCATTGTGCCTTGGAAGGTGTTCCGTCAGTCTCTCCATGAGTTTCATCCTATCAGCTCCGGCCTGGAGGCCATGGCCCTCAAGTCCACTATAGACCTGACCTGCAACGACTACATCTCTGTGTTTGAGTTTGACATTTTTACAAGGCTGTTTCAGGTAGACAACACACACACTACACAATATACAGATGTGCTTTAGTATCATTCCACTTTAGTTCAGTGAGCACTGAATGTGCAGAAAACAATAATGAAGTAAATAGAATGAGCTTTTAACTTCCCATTGGTCTGTTGCACATAATGAACTTTTAACACTTTCTTTTCAGCTCTGCCACATTTGCCTGTTGGTTTACAGGTCTGTAGTTAAGTGTTTCCTCCTGCTATCATAGATCAAAGTAGATTTGGGTTTCTTTATCTACTCTTAGTTTGGTTGTCTGATGTATTGGCCTTAGAAACATCTCTTCAGTCAGCTGGTTGTCTGAAACTGCACTCTACACCAACCTATAAGGAAAATTAACCCTATCTTGGTTAGATTTTTCAGAAAATCACCCAAGTTTATCCAAATCTCTGAATAGGAAACAAAGAAGCACAACGTTGCCAACAAAAAGAAGACAAGTTCACCAAAGTTTACCTGAAAAGGATGCTGGGGTCTGTTATAACCACAAGAATAATGCAATGTTTTCTCGCCTCATATATCTGAACCTAAATCACCAAGTTTTCATTAACGTTTGTCTGAAACTTTCCAGCAGATCTGCTCTGCGGCAGTGTGGGCTGGTTATTCCCTGAGTGACATTATCCCTCAGCTTGGTGCTCGTGACCGAGGCTCCGACGGGCTTAATGAGGCCTAAACAGATTAGACATTTCTGATGTGACACTTCCTCTAAGTAAACCATCCAGCTAAGAGGCGGAAATGGGTCTGTGGCCATTTTAAGGGCCTTCGTTGATGTGCCGCTAACTCTGGGTGAAAGGTCTGCAGTAAGCAATATGGTTTGTAACAAGATTAGACTAAAACATAAAACAGAAATGGCCTGTGTACAACACAGGAAAGTGGTTTGAGCGTATCACTTCCTTTGTGAGAAAACTATCATAAACTAAAGATTTTATTTTATACGGACCAAAGGGAAGGCTAGCTAGCTTTAAAGTCTATGCTACATTTTTGCACCTACAGATAATTCCCACTGTTGTGTGTGATTCTACATCCTTTCACACCAATGGATATGTGGAATAGGTGACTCACAACCACACTCAGTCCTAGTAAAAGTGAGTTTGCTCTCTTAATTCTAAGGCATCTGGTATCAGAAGGTACCTGCCTCAGTTTTAGGGAAATGCAACTGCTGATGACCAGCAGCATATTCATTTGTCTTGTTGTTTTTTTTTATTTTTTATTTTATAAGAACTGAGCCAAAATGCAGAAGCAGAGTGTGTTGCAAAATACGTGCCATAATTTAAACATCCACTGAACCTTGTCAATATCGTACATCACCGACCGGAGATGAATCTCTCTCTCACACACACACACACACACATGCACACACACACACGTACGCACACACGCTGTTTTCCATTTATTGCCCGGGGCCCTCATTTATCAAACGTTTGCAGAAACAGTCCTGCATTCCATCCTACAAATGTAACTTTGGATGTTTGTAAAAACAGCAAGAATTCAGAATTTACAAAAAATGCATTGGCCACTCTTACACTCGTTCCTCAGCAATCGACTGTTGATAAATCCCACGTTTGCGTACCCGGGTGCTCGTGTCTGTTGGTCATTTACAGACAGGAATGCTCTTAATCACACCACATCCTAAGCTAATGAAAGAAATCCCTACATTCTTCTCTGGGGGAAAAAAAAAGAAATCGGAGACGGTGATATTGAGATAGAGGCTCTGGCTACCAAGGTTGAAGAGAACAGCTCAGGGGTAACCAGTAAAAGAAAGAATGCCGCCTGGGAGAAAGTTGTAAAAGTTGTAAACACGGTTGAAACAGGAATGATCCCTGCCAGAAATAAAGAAAAAATGGTTCGACATTAAACTGAATACGACAAATGTAGAGTAACTGTCTCAGTGTTCCATTTTGTTGTGTGAATGTTCTGTTGGGAGTTAATTTAGTCTTTTGGAAATGTTGTCTGACGGCAGCTTCCTTTGTCAGCTGCAGAGGTGTCAGTCAGTTTGGTTACCTTGACTGTGCGTGTATGTAGCAGAGTGGGAAGAAGGTTCTCATGGGGGATTTCCCAGGTTTGTGACACTGAGCTGTTGTTTTTGTTGAAGGTGAGAATAAATAAACCCTTAAAGGTGTGGTTGGTTGAATAGCCTTTTTTAAAATCTTATTTGACTATATAATCGGTCACTCTTGAGTTTTTCATGCAGGCTGAACATGAAAATAGTGTCCTACACCTATCTCTCGCATTAGTTTCTGATAGCAAATCAACAGTGAAACTCTAGGATTTGAAAAGCCTGACAGATCTACATCACACTGTTAACATTCATGGACTCACCCATCTTAACTCGCGACGGGGAAGGCTGTTGTTGGTTTAGCATCCAGGAAACAGCAGAGAATGTCTTGGCTAGTAGAAGCTAACTGTTAGCATTAGCAATTCACCACACACGTTATATGTGGGGGTAAAACATCCACACTGCAAGATAGTGGTAGACCTGCATTCCTATCATCCAGTCCGAGGCAAGATGTCCAAATATCAGGAAACAAGTCTTCAAAACCTGCCGTCTGAAGCTCAGCTGTGATGTTGGTAACTGGTAATGGTGCACCAGATATTTTTCCCCCCTCGAGTATGACTTATAAGGTGGAGCCGTTCCCTCCAGAGTGCACACTCTGCCAAATCATCCAACATCACAAAACAAGTCATGCTACAATGTAAAAGTCTCGGCGTGTCTTTTATAGATTCTAACACCAATTATGTGACAAAGCGGTTTTTCTGCCAACATAATTACTTATGGGTAAAAATAGTTTGTGGATGAGTAACACATGTGGATGACTGGGACCTTCAGATTTGCCCCGCTGCATGGTCAGAGCTGTTCATTTATTTAGGAACAAGCACAGCATTGGTAAATACCACACAATGGGTAAAATTGTTATTTCTCACGAATTATGCACAGATCTGTGTGTAAGTACGGTTATTGAATGAGGGCCCAGCTTTGTAAAAATCCAGCCACAGGACTTTTTTGTGTAGGTGTCCAGAAGAGCAGAGGTGGTATTGTTTGGAACATGGCATCTGCTTTGTTTTCTCTGTCGGGAATCTCAGAGAGGGGGACGTGCTCCACTAATTAAGAACCACTGCAGAGTGAGCACACCTTCACCCCTTATGATCATAATAAATCTGACACTTTCCATCAAGTCGATGTCTTCACTTTTCATTAAATAGGATTTTAGGTGTTGTACATTGCCCTTAAACGACCTTCTGCTTGTCTTGGTCTACTGCAGTAATGTTCAGTAAACGGCTGTTTGAACGTCATTCACCCACGGTGCATCATACAGTTCTCTCCCTCTGCTTGTGCTGTTATTACTGTGTCCATTCACTCACACTTCAGGTGACTCAGTCTCTTTTTTTCCTTCTGTGTGTGTGTGCATGTGTGTGTGGGCGGTGTAGCCTTGGTCATCCCTGCTGCGGAACTGGAACAGCTTGGCTGTGACTCACCCGGGATACATGGCCTTCCTCACCTACGATGAGGTCAAAGCTCGGCTACAGAAGTTTATTCACAAGCCTGGCAGGTGAGACATGAAGCTCGTGCTTTTTTAAATTTTTTACTTGCCATTTGATGACATGATGTAGCATCATGTGACTCTAACACCAGTTCTTGAATAAGCTGCATTTCTAAATAGGTATTGGCCTTTACAGAAGCAACCTTCTAATGACTCTAAATAACCCTTTGTCATTTTCCGTTGGCTCTACTGTGAGCAACACACTTTCATTTCCTTTTTTTAAACTTTATTTTCACTAGAAATGGTTTACTTACAGGTAAACAGCAGCTCATGCAACACATTTACCAGATTTAAACCTGGTCACAAACTCACTCAGTACTAATGCTGTTTATTTAGTGGGGATGGAGCTGGAGCTCCACGGTACCTTGCATCAAAAGCTTGATTGTACGCAAACTGTTGATGTCACTCCCTGGACCTGGGCTTGGGTAGACACTTCAGCATTGAGGCATTTAGTGGTCAGGGGAAAGTGCCACATTTTGACCATAAATGGGGCTTCCTGATGTCAGTTATTATACAGGAGAGTGATACAAGAGGTTCACCACTCGTGTTCGATACCTACGTAGAACAGGGGAGGGTTTTATTTCTCAGTCCCATCCATATGTGATGGAGAAATTTTAATTTGCTCCAATTTTTCCGTGTGTGTTTGTGTGCGTGTGTTGCTGACGTCATGAGTCACATGTCAGTGTTTTCCTGCTGACGCTTGATGCAGGGGTGAGATTACACAAATCGACTTTGCTATTTGCAAAGTCAGTCAGTTCTCCTTGAGTTGGTGTGGAAAACTGCCGTTCCTGCACCAGTTTGTCCCCACATTAAATCCAGGCTGCTCCAAGATTTAGCCGAGCAGTCGTGCTTGTTGAAAACTCTGTGGTTCCCGCTTCTGTAGCTGCTGATCTGTTTCTATGCATCTACTTCTCTGTTATATATAATGTGATTGTGTGTTCTTCAGATACACAACACTAAAGATTGGAAACACACACACACACACACACATTTCGGTTGTGTTTTTTTGTCCTGAAATAAAGATGTAATTTACTGTGTAAAATTTTAAGTTTTCTTCTATTTGATGTTTTTATTTTTTTTATTTTTTTTTTTGACTCTTGTTTTGAAATAACTACGACCAGTTGTAAGTGTTTATCCCACATTTTAATTGGATGTATTCTGATCTCTCTTTAGTTATATTTTCCGACTGAGCTGCACCCGACTGGGCCAGTGGGCTATTGGTTATGTGACAGCAGACGGGAATATTCTCCAAACCATTCCCCATAATAAGCCCCTCTTCCAGGCTCTCATAGATGGTTTCCGAGAAGGATTGTAAGCAGATTACTTGTTGGTCCATTTATATCTACCATTTCTTGTGGTTTTCAATGAGAACCTCTGAGCTTCTTCTCTGTATCTCTTCTGTCTGGTTTGTGGTCTTTTGTCTAAGTTTTTTAGTCTGCAAAGCTTCTCTTTTTGTTATCTCATCTTTCTACAAAGTTCATGTTTTTGCATCCTACAGCTGATTGTGACCTTTAGCTCAGGTTGTATAGTCGAAGTAGCGCTTTGAGAGTAGCTGGCTGGAGTGAAACTCATCCTTCAGTGCCGGCGTCACTTATTAAAAGCCATGCCTCAACCTGTAATCGAATGCTAATTTAAAGGAGGAAAGACTCAAAAATTAATCGACAAATTTGTGTCTACAGCTCAATTTCACTGTCACATAAATTCATCAGCAGAACAAATGTTTTCATAACCTTTAGCTACACATGTAGCATAACCGTGCTAACTAACAACGGTGTCTAAGGTAACACCAATGCATTCAAGGCATCTAAAGCTTCTTTTGTATCTTCAGCTATTTATTTCCTGACGGGCGAACTCAAAACCCTGACCTGACCGGATTGTGTGAACCTTCACCTCAAGACCACATTAAAGTCACCCAGGTCGGAACATATCAGATACTTACCGTTCCAGTTTTTGTCTTTTATTTTTCTTTTAATATTTCCACGTAATCTCTAAATCTGCCACAAACCACAAAACATAATTGTGACATTGTTTTTGCATGCCCTTAAGAAAGCAGAAGTGGCGTATGAAAAGGCCTCTGAGGTCAGATCCTTCTCGTAACATCGAAAATGTTTTGTTCGTGTTTAAAAGAGCAAGCAGTGAAGTTCTTGTCTGAGCAGAGAACCAAAAACACGCCTCCACACTTTTAGTAGCGTTCCTGATCCTCACAGACTGTTTTTTCTAACTGATCTCAGGTGGTGCGTGTTCTCTGTGATGTTACTTGTCATGATTCTTTTTTCCTCTCCCTTCCCCCTCAGGAGCAATATGAGCTGTATTGTGAGATGGGCTCCACTTTCCAGCTTTGCAAGATCTGTGCTGAGAACGACAAGGATGTGAAGATTGAGCCCTGCGGTCATCTCATGTGCACGTCCTGTCTCACTGCCTGGCAGGTATGAGAGGGGGTGGAAAACCAACCGTAGCTGGTTAGATGCTGAGAAATGGGCTTGCCGAAGAGCTCTTTTGTGCACATTTATTTAAAAACCACAAAGCGTTTAATTTCTAGATGCCATCAGCTTTGTCTTCTGTCTGTGTTGCAGGAGTCAGAGGGTCAGGGGACAGGTTGTCCCTTTTGTCGCTGTGAAATTAAAGGTACGGAGCCCATCGTTGTTGATCCTTTTGACCCGAAGGACAACAGCGGAGGCTTGTGTAGGAGCTCCATGTGCGCTGAGGGGGCGCCCTCTCCCAGCTACGATGACGATGATGATGACAGACTTGAAGACCCCCACCTTATGATGAGCAAACTCGCCTGCTCTAAGGTAAAATTGTAAAGGGACACAGTTTCTTGGGGCACACCTCGTGCGTCTCTACCACCGTTCTGGTTCTGAGACTCATTTCTACACAGATGGAACACTCCCGCCTTCTCTTTCCTGAGGTTTTTAATCTCCATCTTTCATGACATCACGTTAGCAGCAGCTTTTTTCTATCTCTTGCTATTTGATATGTGGGATTCTCTTCTGTCTTCCATCTTTGATGCACCTCAAAGAAAATGTGCATGCATTAATGTGAGATTAGCTCAGATCACACACGTCGATGCCTGTCCCTTGTATTGCTGACCAGCCTTCTTCAGTCATTACTTTGAATTTATAATAATATTAAACATTTAAGTACTGAAAACATTTGTTTAGTTTCTATCATGGACATGTATCTGTCTGATGCAGGTGGAGCGCCCCCCATCACCCATGTCCCTGCCTCCTCAGTCCTCCCTGCCACCCGTGCCTCCCAGACTTGACTTATTACCAAACAGACCTCCAAACCCCCCCGGGGCCTCCAGTCCAGGGCTCATCAGTAAGGTAAGTGAACACATTATTCACACACACATCAGGCATCATTGTAACACGTTCTTCCTCAGAAAATAAGAATCTAATTGTAGATTAAGGGAATTTATTGGCAATATTCTCTGCATTTTAGAGATTGTTCGACTTTATGCCGCTATCTTTTTGGTTGGCGTACATGATTATGAACTCAAAAGATCAAAATCTGTCCAAAAACTTTTACTTTATTTTTTAATTCTGTACTTTAGATAGTTCAGTAATCTTTTTTTCTCAAATATCAACAGAAGGCATTCTGCTGAGACCAGAGTCAGAAAAGTCGAAACGTTTTCAGCTGACATATTTTTTCCCTCTGTCATTTATCTAAATTATGTCTCTTTATATTGACAACTGCTTATGCAGCAGTTTCATTGAAAACGATCATTTCCAGTGCAGGAAAATGCATTTCTTTGCTTTTAAATCTGTTTACTAAAGTCAGTTTAAGTGTTTCCTTGCCTCCGCTGTGTCCCTCCAGGCAGCATCTCACCACAAAGACAAGCCTCTTCCTCTCCCTCCTGCTCTGCGGGATCTCCCCCCTCCTCCTCCTCCAGACAGACCCCACGCAGCCGGGACAGCCCCCGATACCCGGCTCCAGAGGAGGCCCTTACCCAGCACTCCGGGGGAGCCCCCTCGAGATAAGCTGCCACCTACGCCCCCAAACCGTCCAATCACTGACTGGAACTCCAGGCCCGTTCCCAAGGCCCCCACTTCATCTTCTTCCTCATCATCCTCTTCATCCACCCAAGTCTCCAGTCTGGGAGGGGACATCCGGGCCGGTGTCAGGGAGCTGTCCAACAGGCACTCCCTCCCCCTGGCGCTGCCGTCTGCTATGGACACCCGCTCAGACTCTCAGAAGAACAACAGCTCCCTCAGCCTGGACCACCAGCTGGTTAGAACCAACACAGAACATTGATTCACTGGTTCTCACTTTAGAGAACTGAAAATGGTAGACCGTTGACCTCAAGCGTTCTGGTTCTAGGGGTTGTCGCATAGTCAAGGTGTTGTCAGGTGTGTCGACAGAGGCCTGACTTTAATAGGCTAATGAAAATCTGATCAGCTGACTCACTTTTTCACTTCTTCACCTTCAAAAACGTTTGTGCTGCTTTTGCATCATGTTTAGCTCTGGAAAGTGACTCAGACTCGGTTCTGCTTCAGCTGGCTGAGTCGACAAAATGTCTCTACACATCAGAGGCTGTGAGGCTTTTTCGGTCTGTCGATAAATGAGTAAACACAACTGACTCAGAGGATGTTTTACGGTTTTTAAGTGTAAAATCTGACCTTTTACATGTGGCCCTGGCGGAGATTATTGTTGGGTGTTGGTGTAGAACTGAAGGAGTCCTGAAATGCCTGTTTTGTTGTTTTTATCTGGATTTTTTGGGCCTTTTTACATCAAACCCCTCAGTTTTTCTTTATATTCCAGAGTAGAATAGAGCTGTTGACTTAACCTCCCTTTAACGTCTCATCATCTTTGATGGTTTTGGTTTTTTATCCTATGGACACCCTGTTGAGCAACGGGTTATGAGATCCATCTAGGCATATAGATTAAAAAATCCTTCAAATTAAAGTTGTCTGTACTTTAGTTTTCACAATATAACTAGGAAAAATATGTTTCTGTACTTGAAGCAGTCCCAGGCCGACCCAGAGATAGTCCCTCCACCATGTCCTGGGTTGACTCTGGTTTCTCCCGGTGACAGGACGTGCCTAAAACACCTCCTCTAGGAGGTATCTACTAGGCATTTAAAGCCATGGTGCAGCGCCTCACCTGAGCCTATGTAAGGGAAACGCTGTTAGAAATCTGCTGGGTGTCTGTGATGTATTGAGTTGCCTGGAAGTCCACGCATCACTTACTAGAGTGATAGAGTGGAGAAGCCAGAGTACGAGCAGCAAATAATCTAGGAAATGTTTAGAAAAATGTGGGATCCATTCAGAATCTTTATAAATAAGAGCCTCGATTTGGACGTAATTCGATTTATTTCCCGGCACCTCTAAGATCTCGCAATAACTCTGGATGTGTCTTGGAAGCATTGGGCCTGAGTTTTCTGACTAAAGTGTAAACTTGTGGGCAGATCACCCACAATTAAGATGATCCTGAAGCAAATACAATATATTCTACTCCATTCTATTAAACTGTCTTAAAAATGGCAAATATCTTCAGACTTCTAGTGTCGTGATGCATCGTATCGTCTCCCATGGTTGTATGTCACATCGCCAGAGTCTTGCCAATGCTCACCCCTAACTCTTAGGCTGAACTAGTCAAGTCAAAGTCAACCTCCGCTCAAGCACAACTCATTTTCTAACTGCAGCTCCCGTTTTCTATGCTGGAATATTTTTCAAATGGCTAGAACCACGTATAACGGTCTAGCTTCTGTCATTTTACCCACTTTAACACAAATGAGAAGATAAAAGAGCAGATGGGAATAATGAGAGCATTTTCTTTGAAATGTTTTTATTTGAATGAAAACATTACTAAGATGCATTATTTTGCTTCCCAGAGCTTTGCTGCAATCGTCGACGGCGATTACGACAACCCCAAAGTGAAACCGTCAGCCTCAGCTAACGCCATCTACACATTGGCTAACAGGTATGTTTCACCGCTCCTGTGGTGACTTTCTGATACTCACAGCTCAGTACGTTTTATCTTTCCTTGGAATAATCTAGATATTCTTGTTTTCCAGGCCGTCTCCGATTTTGAGACCATTGACTGGAGAAGAGCTATGTGACAGTGAGGAGGACTCGGACTACATGATTCCCTCCTCTCGTCCCATCTCTTTACCACCTGTGGGGGAATCCTCATCAGCGGTGAGGCCTCCGCAGCCTCTGTCAACACTCCAGGCTCAGACTCAACCCTCCACACTCAACTCACGGTATTTAACCCCCATTAAATCCATATCAGTACATCGGAAGAGAAGGACATTATTAACCTTTTAATTGCTGTAGGTTGACACTGACTGAGGATGGATCTATATCTTCTGAAGCCATGTACAACATCCAGGCACGGTCACAGCAAGCCAGAGACTCAGGTGATTAATGGTGACACTTTATAAAAGCTTCTAAAGTTTAATACCCTCCCAACTTTTTGATTGTAATCCTTCCAGATTACTCTGATTTACCCCCTCTGGTAAATGGGCCCAGAGAGCCCGCAGGAGAGGACCGGGAGGAGGAGGATAACGGCTACGACTTCCCGAGACCGCCACTACCTATGCCTCCCACCAGACGGACCCTTTCAGAAATGGGCGGGTCGTTATCATCATCTTCATCCTCCTCATCATCATGTTTGTCCTCCACAGCTGCTTTCAACCGCCTTTCTCTAGATTCAGATGCTGGAGCTGCAGCGTGTAAGTTTCCTTTTGCACAAGCAGGTTGCTTTTTAAAGCCATACTATCCAGTTTTTCATATTTAGAAATTATTTTCTTAAGCTACTATGTGCTAAAATGACCCTTACAGGGCTAATTAAAACTCCGCCCCCTTCGCCCCTTGTGAGCAGGATACTCCGTTTGTAATGTCAGCCTCTCCGGACCGCTGCCCTTGGCTCTCACAAAGCCTCACTTTACGGCAGTCCATGTTTACACCTCAGAACAGATGAGCTATACCTGATTAGCATTTATTGTAAAGTGTTAATCATAGTGGAGCCTCAGAAGATTCAAGGAAAACGTTTATCTGATGAAGCTAAAAAAATAAATAAACTTCCAACCAAAATAGGAATGAAACAAGAGTCGGCATCGTGAGTTTTCTGAATCACGAGAGCTCAGAGACATGATTCCTGCATGTTTTATATCATGAGCACAGCTGATTTGTTTGATGTAGCGATAGAAACTAATGAAGGCTGAGGAGACATTTCAGCAGTTAGATGAAGGTGTTAAAAGCACGAGCACACTGCGCGGAGTGTTTCACTTTTGTTTTTACAATAGTGAATTAAAACGGACACTAGGGGGTGCTAAAAACAAGCCCAAAACTGCAACATTTCCCTTTAATACATCAAGTAAAACCGCTGGGTCATTCAAGGGTCTTGTAACCTTGGCAAGTAAAAAGTAATAATAGATTAAAGCTTTTAGTTGATGAAAGAAATGAAAATACGGTTAAATAACAAGGTTGGACCTTTAAAATGATGACTTTGAAAATGGGTTTGTTGCAGCGTATTTGATGGAGATTTCAGTCTGTACAGCAAACTAGTTAATATCAAATCATCCTGCATGGATTTCTTTCTTGCCTTTTCTTTTAAATATTTAAATATGTGCAAATGTTTCTTTTATTTCTCTATGGTTGCAATCTGCCTTTTTAAAGGTAGTTTTTGAACAGGCTGATTAGGGACTTTTATGCGTATTAGTTGCAGGTTAGACAGCCCATCCACAGTGCAAGGGTTTCATTGTTAATGTGGATAATTTGGTTTAAGCTCTTAACCTGACAAATCAAAAGAAATGACACTGACAGGCTGAGTGGAGGAGTAATTGCAGACCTTTTCTGGCATTATGAAGCCTCTGTAAGGTCACCGCCACAAAGCAGAAAGTCTGTTTGCTTTTTTTTTTTTCTCAATGAGACAATCTGGAGTTATGCCCTGTGTTTGCATTAGACTGACATTTACCACAGATGATCAGCGGGTGTCTTGAGCATTTCGCCCAAGAGCCTGAAGCTCGGTATTGGAGCCAATTAAATCATGCTGCGTCAGGCTGACAAGCTCACAGATTATAATTGGACTCGTGCGGTGCTTTGTTAAATGTCAGTGCTGGGGAGAGCTAAAAAGGGTTTCATAATGTTTGAGAGGGAAACCCGTGTCGCTCACCTTGGGTCAAGTTAGATCAGCTGATCAACATTTTTTATTTCCAGTAAAAGAAGCCAACAGTCAGGTTAACCTTTTGTTGAGACACCCCCCCCCCCCCCTTTTTTTTTTTAGTTAATCCTCTTTTTGTTCTTTTAGCCATCTTAGAACTGGCCGAAGCAGCACCAGAGAGACCTCCGAAGCCTCTGCCGAGACGGATCAACTCAGAGCGCCACCACAGCCCCGTGCCACCCGTCCCCGTGCCGCCCAGTACCATGGCAACAGGTGGAGAGGCCAATCCCCAGATCAGCAGTGAGATTGAGCACCTTATGAGTCAGGGATATTCTTATCAGGACATCCAGAAAGCGCTGGTGATTGCACAGAACGATATTGAAATGGCCAAAAATATCCTGCGTGAGTTTGTCTCCGTTCCCTCTGCTCACATCCTCACATAGCACGCCGTTGCGCATCGGTCCTGCGTTCGCTCTCTCGCCTCTGGCTTGGCCTGGCCCAGCCTGGTTTGGTTTGGTTTGGTTTAGGTTGGCAGAGACCAACCTGGAGCCCACTGACTCAACCATCGCTAATGGCCTTGCTCCTATGGACTTTTAACGGGCTGTTACTCCGTCATCTGTGGGACTCTGCGCTTTGCACTCCATGCGCTTTCAACAGTGTCTGGCCTTTTTCTGCACAAACACACACACACACACAACATGTTACAGCAGGCCGCTTCAGTTTCCACTGCTTCTCCCGAATAAACACAAGTGGAGCCGCGACGGAACATCGCACAGCCCTGAACGTTCATAGGAATCCTGGGAATGCCGGTTCTTGAGTTTCGTGCTGCAGCCTCTTGTTGAAAAATGTAACCGACACCTCACAAGTACAACAAAAAATGTATGTCTATATGGAAATTTAATATATAAGTAAATATATATTAAATGTGTGTAATATATACAATATATAATATGTGAAATCTTGAGCTTTGAGGGTCACAGTTGGTACAGCTAGACAGGAGTCGGATTACAGGAAGATCATCTTTTTCTGTCCAGACGAAGGGTGGACAAGTCGAGGTGTCTCCTCACCAGGATGTTAGTCAGCAGCAGAGCTTTTTTTTTCTTTTTATTATAAATTCAGTTTGAAATGGCCTTCAAATGAAAACAATGTTGCTTTGGTACATTAATTAAAAATACTAAAAACTCATTTTTATTATTTTTTTGCAGAGTAGCATGATTGTGTTTTCAGGTCTTAACTCGGTGTGTGCGTGTGTAAAATCCTCCCCCCCCCCCCCCCCACCCCCCCCACCCCCGTACAGTAGAACGTACGACTGTTCTAAGCTCTGAGGCAGGGCCTTGTGCAGCTCCAGAGCCGGACGGTGAGATTATCAGAGGACTTGCTGCAGTAGCAGACGGGCTAGCGTTGTGTGATCCATGGTGGCCGAGTACTTTTTGTTCTGTCTTTTGTCTAAATTTAAACCTGACTGGTTCAAGTTTCTGTCTCCAGCTCAGTCAGGTGTTAGAATTCAAAACATGAAAAAAGAGAAAGACATTGATTTGCTTTCATAATATATTATTATTATTAAATGTTAATAATTCAGAAGTGTTTTACTGCTGCTACTTTTGTTAGTGCTAAACAATTAAGCCTTAAATGTACATTGTGTGAATACTGTGTTCTTTTTTCTTTAAAGTGACAGTATCATGTGTCTTTCCAGTCCATAATGTAGCATACTTGAAAACTAACAAGCAGCTTTTAAGCTGTCGAGTGTTTTTGACTCTCTGAAGCAGCTGTATGAATGCATGCTTAATGCTTTGGGGTTGAAACATTAAATTAAAAGCAGCCATTTTTAATAGGATCTTCTGCCAGCATCTGTTGCTCTGATAGGAAGCGACTGCTGAGGCGTTTTTGTAAAGTAGACACCTGGGTTTGCTGGCCCCGTCCCAGAGTCTATAATAAAATCAGTATTAGGGCCAACTGTAAAAACTAACTCAGGAATAATGTTTGTATGTAAATATTTAAAACAAAGGTGTTGAACGTACCTGTAAAACCCAGAGGAGGCCCACCGGCTCAGGCAGCAGCTCACCTCTCGTCATCTGCATCACGTTCAGCCATCTGCTTCGTAAAGGCTTTTATTTTTTAATCGTTGCACTTTTGTATTATTTCCAGTGTTTGCATGACAACAAACTGCAGTTTTGATTTCAGGTACTATGAATAAAAGGTTAAATTCATGCAAGCAGCTTTTAGGTACTTGAGCCTCCTTCAGTTGATGAAGAATGTTTGTTTTTCTTCTGGGGAGTGAGAGCTAAATGCTTCTTCCCATCCTCTTGTGCTTTTTTATTTTCCTAGTTGCCTTGAGAAACTTTTTCAATGATGGTTGATGATGGGCGGGGACGTCTACGGTCCTCAGTACTGTACCAATGTTCACGTTTCAGGACGGCATGTCATTCTCGTGTATTAACGTTTATTTTTGCACAGCATACCGATTTGTGCTTTGATACTGTCACTCTAAAGAAAAGCCAATTGTATAAAGTTGATATGAAATGGAGAAAAGACTCTTTTTGCATTCCTGTAACTTGTTGGTTGTTCCAAAGGTTTTTGTTTACTTGACTGTTTTCATGATCTGTGCCATTTGTTTAGAGCTCCTCGCCAAGGTTCGTACCATTTTTTTTACATTTATTTTGAAGAGAGTTTATGGTATTCATCTGAACCTGTTGATCTCTGGAGGGAGGCAGGATTATGCAGTAATGCTCTTAATCTGATCTCGGCTCCATTGAGCCTCATCTGTGAAATGCTCCAAAGTCCCTTGGATCACTTTTTATTTTATTTTATTTTTTTACCCCAGATAATGACAACAGATCCCAGTTGACGCCTAGTTATTGTCAGCTCCCCTGTTGGAGGCATTTGAATTTTCTGCCAGAAGAGGGGGCTGTAGCTCCATGCTGCTGGGTTTATTTTCTCATCAGTAAAAGGCATTTATTATAATTTTTGGGGGGTGATTTCTAAAGCTCATATCGATTTAGAAGTACATTGCTGTTAATAAAATGTTAAGCAAAAGCATCCCATGTGTTTTCTCTGTGTTCGTGTCTTTCAATATCATTAAAGTTGGATTTCATTATCTCTAGATTTATTTTAAATTGGGTTTGTCACTAAATATGGATTCGTCATGTCAGAGGAGCACTTAAAAACTTGTCCTGCAAAAGTGGAAAAAATGATTTCATTTTCAAGTCGACATGAAAAGAGGAATGAACCAAGTTCGTTGTGGACGCTTGAAACTGAATTTTGTCAGATTATGATTATTTTTTTAAGTTTTGAAGGTGTAAATGAGAAAGACGTTTATTAAAGAAGGCTTTTTAGAAAATTGTACTTTGTTTCAATCATCACTATTTAAGGTGCTGGAACATCTTGAAATCTTGCATTAAAAGTGTTTAAAACAGGCTTGAATCACAAAACTGTAGGAACCCTGATTTTAAACCTGAATACCCTTTAGAGCCTCATGTGTTCAGGAACAGCAAGTAGTACATTTTCTATCAGATAATCAAGCATCTTGCTTTATAATGCACTTGTAATTAAATTTAAAAGTAAAATTAGATTTTTCTGCTGCCTTCAGCGGATCAAATGAACTTTACCTTATGATAACCCAATTCATCTGCTAAGTGTTTTTAGAAACTGGACTGCTGATGCTCAGATCTACAGGGCTGACAGAAAAAAATTAAAACACTTTAATTGTTGGGGTAGTGACCAAAATAATGAGATATGGGATACAAGCGGCCAAAATTAGTTTTCTCTGCAGGGTGTCTGGGCTCTCCCTTAGAGATGGGTTGAGAAGCTGAGGCGCTCAGAGTAGACGCGCTGCTCCTCCACATCTAGAGGAGCCAGTTGAGGTGGCTGGGACATCTAGTTAGGATGCACGTCCAACCGGAAGAAGTCCTAAAGGAAGTCCCAGGACTCGCTGGAGGGACCTTGTGTCTTGGCTGGCCATGGAGGAGCTGGCCCAAGTGGCTGTGGAAAGGGAAGCCTGGGCCTCCCTGATTATGCTGCTGCCCGTGCGACCCGACGCTGGATAAGCGGCTGGTAATGAATGGATGAATGTTTCTCTGTTAAAGCTGAAATTAAATGTTACAAAATGTATGTTTGAATAAACTCTAACCCTTGATTCATTTTAGTAGCTCAATTAGTTTAAACTAAACTTAAATGGGTTTTAAAAAACACTTAAAATAAAATAAAAACATTTATGAAAACTGATAATTTTTTTATTTGGTATGACTTTCAAAAACTAAAAACACCATTTTTGGGTCATTTTAAACTCAAAGGGTTTACAAGGCATTTCAAAAACATCCCAAATCTGTTAAAAACAATAATGAAGCTTGACTGTCTCCAAACCGACATTATTGAGTCACGATCATTCCCACCTCCTCAGTAGTCCGATAACAAACATTAGAAACATTTAAACCAGGACCGATCCTGTAAGGCTTCAGGTCTGAGGGGGATTCTGCATCTCAGGTCCAAACATGAGTCAGTTCATTTGTCGTTGCAACTTCATGCCTGCCTTCATCTTATGGAATAAAACATTGAACAATCATGTAAAACTGCATCATGAATAACCACACGAAAAAATGAAATAAAATCAGTGCACAGAAAATAAATATAAACAAAACAACAGAAAAGTAAAGCTTCTGCAAGGCTTTGAATGTGATCTGTAAGGCATCTGCAACTGTCTGACCCGTGAATGTGTTTGAATGACCTGCTGTTTGATTTGGTGAGTATTCTCAGTGTGCATGACTGAAACATAACAGAAAAGACACACAAAAAAACACTAAAAGCTCCCCTTTATACCCAAACATAAAAACACCATCTGGCCAGTTCTTTTTTTGTGTTTTTTAAGCTGCTTTAAATAAAGAAAAATATACATACATAGATTATAATATGTACACTAGTTGAGTTGCTTCATGTTGCTGTTCAGTGATGGCTTTGCCTGAGGTGATGCTAATTCATATATAAAAACAGTCCCGGTCAGCGTTGTGCTCTAAATACTTTGTTCTAAGGACAATCAGCAGTTTCTAAGGCTCGCAGTAACAGGAAGTAACAGTCTGATGTTTGTCTTTGGTTTGATGGCTAAAGGTTCTTTCTGCAGAGTTACTTATGGTGCTCTAGAATCAGGTCTGGTTGAAGCCAGTCGTGATGTGGCAACTGAGACGTAACTCTGGAGGAAGGAGATGTGGTGGAGGCTTGAAGGCATCTGGGAGCTCGAGCCTGAGAGGGAGAAACAGGAGCAGCCGCAGTCGCCTCCTCATGCCTGCATGCGCAGGTCCTCGCCGCCCTTTATTTACTCCAGAGGAAGAACACACACACACAGATGATTCTCAGATTAGCAATAAGAGATCTGGGCTTAGCCAGCTGTGTGTAAAGTCAGATCTCTACCTGGTCACCAGGTGGTGTCTTATCTCCATTGACCCCGAGGAGAATGGCCTCCTCCGTGTTGTCGCTCTTCATCTCAACAACGATGTTGTCTTTGCTGGACTTCTCTTTGGTGCTTTCATAGAAAAGAGGCATGTAGACATGCGCATGAGGCAACAAGAACGCAGAGAACATCAAAGCTGAGGGGAATGACACTTTTTGTCGGTGAAAACACTTGTACCAATAGGTTTACACACCCTGGTGGTTTTTTGGGGGCATTTCTTAAAGAATATGAATGAAAACACAAAAATCTTTTATTCAATCATAGCCTGTAATGTATTCAAGTCATTTACTGTGGAAGAAAATGTGTGAACTCATTTAAAATCACCAAAGTAAAACGCCAAAATCACCATGTTTAAAAGTTTACACACCCCAGGTCCTCCCTTTACCTGGAGTCTTTGTGGTAGTTGTGGAGAAGGTTCCATATATATATTCTAATGCACAGGTGTCAAACTTCGGTCCTCGAGGACGCCACTGACGTGGACGCCACAGGCGCCACTGGTACCTCCGACCACCACCAGCAGGCAAGGCGGGTTAAGTGTCTTGCCCAAGGACACAACAGAAGCATTCTCTGGTGGGAGCCGGGATCAAACCTGCAACCTTCTGATTACTGCTCAACATGTCATTCCCTTAATGTGAACTTTTTTTGGAGTCGTATCAAATTCCATCCATCCATCCATTTTCATCCGCTTATCCGGAGTCGGGTCGCGGGGGCAGTAGCCTAAGGCAAGAGGCCCAGACTTCCCTCTCCCCAGCCACTTGGGCCAGCTCCTCCGGGGTAATCCCAGGGCGTTCCCTGGCCAGGTGAGAGACATAGTCCCTCCACCGTGTCCTGGGTCTACCTTTAGGTCTCCTCCCAGTTGGACATGCCCGGAAAACCTCACCAGGGAGGCATCCAGGAGGCATCCTGACCAGATGCCCGAGCCACCTCAACTGGCTCCTCTTGATGTGGAGGAGCAGCGGGTCTACTCCGAGCCCCTCCCTAATGACAGAGCTTCTCACCCTATCTCTAAGGGAGAGCCCAGCCACTCTTCAGAGGAAACTCATTTCGGCCGCTTGTATCCGCGACCTCGTTCTTTTGGTCACTACCCAAAGCTCATGACCATAGGTGAGAGTAGGAACATAGATCAACCGGTAAACAGAGAGCTTCGCCTTCTGACTCAGCTCTCTCTTCACCACGACAGACCGGTACAACACCCGCATCACTGCAGATGCAGCACCAATCCGCCTATCGATCTCACGATCCAGTTTTCCCTCACTCACGAACAAGACCTGAGATACTTAAACTCCTCCACTTGGGGCAGGACCTCATCCCTGACCCGGAGAAGGCATTTTACCCTTTTCCGAACCAAGACCATGGTCTCAGATTTAGAGGAGCTGATTCTCATCCCAGCTGCTTCACACTCGGCTGAGAACCACTCTAGCAAAACCTGAAGATCACGTTCTGATGAAGCCAACAGGGCCACATCATCTGCAAAAAGCATGGACCTGATCCTCAGGTCACCAAAACGGATGCCCTCCACACCTTGTCTGTGCCTAGAAATCCTGTCCATAAAGGTTATGAACAGAATCGGTGACAAAGGGCAGCCTTGGCGGAGTCCAACTCTCACTGGGGACGAGCCCGACTTACTGCCGGCAACGCGGACCAAGCTCTGACCCCGGTCATACAGGGACCTAACAGCCTGTATCAGAGGGCCTGGTACCCCATACTCCAGGAGTACCCCCCACAGGGCCCCCCCGAGGGACGCGGCCAAACACCTTCTCCAAATCCACAAAACACATGTAGACTGGTTGGGCAAATTCCCACGCACCCTCCAGGATCCCCCTAAGGGTATAGAGCTGGTCCAGTGTTCCACGACCAGGACGAAAACCACATTGCTCCTCCTGAATCTGAGGTTCAACAATCCGACAGACCCTCCTCTCCAGAACCCCTGAATAGATCTTACCAGGAAGGCTCAGGAGTGTGATCCCCTGTAGTTGGAACACACCCTGCGGTCCCACTTTTTAAATAAGGGGACCACCACCCCGGTCTGCCAGTCCAGTGGGACTGCCCCCAATGTCCACGCGATATTACAGAGCCGCGTCAGCCAACACAGCCCCACAACATCCAGAGCCTTAAGGAACTCCGGGCGGATCTCATCCACCCCTGGAGCCTTGCCACAGAGGAACTTTTTAACCACCTCAGTGACCTCAGCACCAGAGATTTGAGAGGCCAACCCAAAGTCCCCAGACTCTGCTTCCTCGCATCAAATTCTTTATCTCAAAAAAGTTTAAATGAGGAGTTTGATGTAAAAACTTTCTTGTGGTGTATTTTTTATTATATTTGATTATTTGGAGTTCTGATTTTGTTTTTGTTTCTTTCATATCAGTTAAAACTAATTTAGACAAGCAGTGATTTACTTACATGTCTTGCTTTCCTGATCTGTTGCAGATTTTTCCCTTTTTGTAGAGGAAATAGAGCACGCTGCCCAGGATGGCCAGAAGCAGGATGCAGATGATGATGACTGCAATGACCACACCTTTGCTCTCTGACGAAGATAAGAGAAAAAGAAAATGCTGGGAGTGAATTTTGAATGAGATGGTAGATGGAGATGGGAGAATCTGATAAAAGGCTTGACAGGTGTAGGTGCAACAGCATCTTTCTAAAGAGAGTGGAGCACGTAGCGTGATACAGGTGACTTCTGCCTCGCAGCTCAGAGAAAATAAAAGGTGAACATTTTATCATGACTGCTGGAGGAGCGGTGTGCATCTACACAAACAACAGCATAACAACATGCACAGGAAGAGGTGAAGATGATGACATCAGCAGCAGTGGGGTGTGTGAAGGAGGGAACTGGTGGAAGCGTTTTGCTACTGTGAGAGATTCTGCAGCAACGTGACGTACAAACCTTTTTTTTCCTTTGATGGGTTGGGTGTTTCTGATTTGGCTGAGAAAAACCAAATGAGCACAATAATCAGAGTTTGTGTTAAATAACTGATGTCTGCTGGTTGCGCGCGCGCACACACACACACACACACACACACACACACACACACACACACACAGTAGAAGCTTGATCAGCAAAAATCTGGATGAACGTGTAATGTAGGCAGATTGTCTCTTTGATTTAAAGATTGAGTCTCATAGGTAAACCGTGCTCAATAATCCATCTGTTTTTTGTTGTTTTTCTAAGGATACATTTTGAATTTCACATCATAACAGAAACCCAGAGTGGTTTTCCTCTGAGGGGATGGAAACGTCTTATCAGGACAGACACAGACGAAGGAGGAGCAGAATCAGAAGAACGTGAGACAGCCTCCTGTAATGGGATTCTGGAAACGCTGAGTGCACTCCTAGCACGGGTTCCTTCTAACACTGATGTGTGTGTTTGTGTTTGTGGCTGGCTTCCATCTACAGTACATGATGGCAACCTAACCCTTTAAGAATTGAATCTCTTGTATCGGCTCATAACAACTCTAATATAAACCTTCTCTTTCATGTCTCACAAAAACCTATGTAGGCACTCAGAAATCTATACTTGTCATCACTACAGCCTCTTGTCACCGTTTATCATTTTTAAGATGGCTTTAATATTTTTGGCATAGCGGCCATTTATTCCATGTTTTATATTTCCTGCTTTCTCATCCTGCTTCAGCCTGTGTGCTCCAGAGCTGAGCTAAGAAATCCAGCTCTCTGATTGGCTGTGTGAACCTGCCTCCAAGGTGCTGCAGGATGTTTCTATGTATAAAAACAACTACATTTCATCTTTAAACCTATAACATATTCAGCCCTCCACAAAGTCTCCTCTGGAACTCTCTACCTGTAATTGCTCGTCGTTGGGTGATTACCTTTGTTTTCACCTCACAAATTATCAGTAGATAAAGTAAAGTCTACAGGAATGTTCATGTGGACATTTTCAAGACTAACTCTCTCTGTCATCATACGTTTTGAATAAAATGACAAATTCCTTCTTGGAAATTGATTGGATTATTTGAAGCTGTGGCCAGTCTTACCTGTAGCTTTGGGATTGGAAGATGTGGTGGTGATGGTAGTGGTGGAAACTGGTGTGGTGGTGGAATCAGGTGTGGTGGAGGAATCTGGTGTGGTGTGTACAGCTGAAAACAGGTAGGGGGCACAAATAGGAGCACAGTGCACATCACCACACACCACATCAAGGGAGAGGAGGGGGTTCACAGTAAACCACCAAACAGCTTCACTGTGTCTCGTTTGACACGAGAGCACGTGGTGAAGTGTTCAGAATCACAGGCAACACGTTAACACGCGACAAGAATCACAGGCAACACGTTAACAACACGTCAGAGAGCTGAAGACCTTCAGACTGAGTAAAAACAAACAGACACAAGAAGGAGGGAGGACAGGGGGAGGGGGCACACAGAGGCATACAAACACAAACACAGAGAGAGAACGCAGCAGATGGAAGAGCAGCAGGAACTCACTGATTTTCACTTTGATGTTGAACGACACACTGTCGCTGTCGAACTCATTGGAAGCGTTACAGAAAACAGTCACGTCTGAAGTGAGCTGAACAGTGACCTGACTTTTAGCACCAGAGTCAGTCTCCATTTGAGAGCCTGAGTTGATGACCTGTAACAAGACAATAAACAGAAACGCATGAGCTAAAATGTCTGATGAAGAAAGGAGTTTCATCATCAACTCACCTGGGATTAATTTCTTCTTTAAATACAAAAACAGAAACGATATTAGTAAACAAACAGGAGCCTTTTTTTGTTATCTTTTTCATTAAAGCTGTTATAGCAAATTTGGAAAACAAGCTGGCTTAACCCTCCCACTGTCTTCATGGGTGACCCCACCAGGAAAGTTGACCACTGAGCAGGATTGATGGTTCATCCCTTGAGGTCCACGTGGCAGGGGTTGGCAGTGAGCACTACCTCACCCCTGCCACGTGGACCTCAAGGAATAAACCATCAATCCTGCTCAGTGGTCAACTTTCCTGGCGGGGTCACCCATGAAGACAGTGGGAGGGTTAAAACATATTTTCCATGCATCTTAATAACTTTCTAACACTGTTTACGTGATTGTTCGGCTAAAAAAGTCTCCACCTGGATTTAACTAAGCAAATTGGTACGAGCCTCCTATTGGATAATTACTCCACGGGCTATTATCTCTCTTCTGGCAACAAGCGATTTACCCCAACTGGTGCAATGAGCATGTATTTCTTAAACAACCGTGAGAAAAGACACGGTCATGGAAAGATGTTTGTCTGTTTGAGAAGGGGCAGATCATAGGTGTGCATCAAGCAGACAAAACATCTAAGGAGATTGCAGAAACATCTAAAATTGGGTTAATGAGTCCAGATGGACCCTGTTCCAGAGTGATGTCATCAGGGTAAGAAGAGAGGCAGATGAAGTGATGCACCCATCATGCCTAGTGCCTACTGTACAAGCCTGTGGGGGCAGTGCTATGATCTGGGGTTGCTGCTGTTGGTCAGGTCTAGGTTCAGCAGGATGTGCTACCTGAATATATAAAAATCTAATAAAGTAGTTCTTTCACATTCGTCTAAAAACCTCCATCAACAACGCGTTTCAGACTGAAGGCAACGATTGGACCATCCGGCTTTGGTCTCGCCAAACCGCTGTACTTCCTCACTTCCCTGGGTCCTCCTCTTATTACACACCTGTGTATTTAGCTTCAGAACACCACTGGTGCGAGAGGTTCTCCGCTCCATAATTTCAGAGAAGGAGAAACAGTCGGCTGACTGACTTCAACTTTAGGACAAACTACCAGAGTCCCAAAAAGAAAAACACCTTTTGAAGTCATGGACAACAAAATATATTTGGACCTAGAAAACGGAGACTGGTGTTCAGCGTTATCTCGTTTTCTGGCAGAAGCCTCTCAGGGAAGATACCTGAGAGGAGGGGTGAGTGATTCGTGACCGTGTTTGCGCTCAACACCTAGCTTGTTCTGTAGATTCGCTATAGCAGCTTTAATTCCTAGAAGTGGACGCTCTAATGCACCCTCGTAAATAAGTTATAACAGGTTTGCTTGTACAATGCAGTTTGGTTCCCATAAAGGTCAGTAGTTAATCTGCAGCAGGGTTAACTCTGAGTGGAATTTCTAAGTAATATGGATGCTGTTATATTATCAGATTTATAATGATTTTAATGCTTTCATCAGTGTATGCAGTAACAGAAAACCTTCATAAAGCATTTCACATTATGCTGATCTCTGTGCCTAAGCTGAGCTAGCAATTAGTGACTGTTCTTTTGGGTACCTTTCCTTCTGAGGTTGTCCAGGTGATTTTGGGAGTAGGGTAGCCTTTGGCGTGGCAGCTCAGGATGATAGTCTCATCAGAAGTCTCAATCTCATTAATATCTTTCTCTTGGATTTCTGGTTTTCCTGCAGGAAGAGCAAAGAGGAACAATTATTCTGACTATCTTTCAGTCGCACAAACTGAATGAATGGAATCCAGCTGTGCAGTCTCACTTACCCTTAACGTGCACGTGGAGTGAGCCCCTGGTTTCCATTCCTTCTACTTCAGGGACAGTCACAACACAAAGGTACGTGCCTGAGGTATCAAATGTTGCAGCCTCTAAGATTAAACTGTGATCCTTTGACATTTTTTTGTTGTTCTGTACACCAGAGAAGAAAAAGTGCATTAAAATCACCTACTGTTAAAAACCAAAACTCATAAAACTCATTTTGAATTGATAAGATTTTTACTTTAATCAGCAAAGAATGCATAACAAATGTTTGTGTAGTGTCATTATGCATAAGTGTAACCTTAAACCAAGCTGTGTTGGTCTGGAGAGAAGAGAGTGCATTGCAGGTGGCCGTTATTGTGTCCCCCTTGTCCATCAAGACGGTGTCTGATGGGTTTAAAACCGCCTCATCAAGATCTGCACAGAAAAACAGGAGCTAATGATCAATGCAATAAACAGGTAAATCTGTTTGGTTTCCTAAATCATTCCAGAGCGTAATCCTCACAGTTGACAAACACTGCCGTCCGATTTGAGAATTCCTCATAGATGTCAATGTTTGTTAAGGTGCACTCGTACTCTCCAGAGTCTAGACGGGTAACGTTCTCCAGCACCACCTTGTCTACCTCCCAGGTCACGTCATCCTACAAAACCCAACAATTATCCAAACAAAAATAACTTCATGGTGACTGAGATGTGCTGAGCTTAAAAGAATGTGCAATATTGCTGAACTACAAACATTTTTCAAATCCTTTATGGAGTACGTCTCAACGGCATTCCCGTCACCTCTGCAGCGAAGCTCGACCGTGTCGCCCTCTTTGATCCGACCCTTTGGTGATTCGATCCAAAAGTCTACAAAAGTGGAGGGATCTGGAACAAGAGATAGAACGATTAGACAACGTCAATAATTGTTTGTTTTCTGTCTCCAACTTGCACCCCGGTGATACAACAACCTGCACGAGTTGTGAGGTCAATATAAACTCACATATCACGGTGATGTTGATCTTTGTGGTTTCCATCATCATCATAATCCCGTTAGTTCCTGGAAGATAGTAGTTGACCTCGCAGTAGAATGTAGCATCTTTGTCCTTCCTGTCCACCTTCATCGTAAGGTCACTCTTGACTGAGAACAGGCCGCTCGATTCCGAGGTGGTGCTGGTTTCCACGTTCACTTTTGGGAGACAAAAACAAAGATAAAGACAGTGTAGGAGCTAAAAGCAGTGTTTTGTGTACTGCATGTTGACATGTTGCTTATCAATGCCAGCCGGTTATCAGGCAGCCCAGCTGCTGAGTACATGCTCCAAAAACATGTTGATCTGCCCAGCTTATGTAAGTTTCAACTACTTTTGACCATATTAGGATGTGGAAGTAGCACCCCATCATTTCTCAGAATCAAAAGGGAGGTGGGGGTTGAATAGTATAACTGATGCTGCGTGGTGTAGGGGAGTGGGCTTTTGCAGAAGGATCTCCAGCCGAGGTGGTTAGATCGAAGCTGGACGCTGTCCCCTGTGAAGTGTTGGTGATGTATGGATGAGTTGTGTAAATAAATGCCCCCCGCTGAGTTTGGACAGAACCTGTCTCCTTCTTGTTTTTGATAAGGAAAAAGAACCACAACAGAACATAAACTTCATAGCAATCTATTTGCATTTCTTTTGCTTTTCAGTTCGATGAAACATCTCATTTTGTTTAAAATCTGAATCATTTTAAGATCTTTTGATTCAGTCTCCAGTAAAACTACATAACTCAGTACCGGCGCTGGTTTAATCCGGCTCACCATTGTCCGTGTTGCGCAGCGGCGTGGTGTTTTTGTACCAGGTGATTTTTGGTTTGGGGTATCCGTTTCTCACCTCACAAGTGCCAATCTAGATGAAGGCAGGGAATGTAAGTCAACACAATGCTGGACGTTTGTTTGTGTCAACTTGTATACCTTTGATAAGCTGTCTGCATTGACTGATATACCCGTTGTAACACCCTCGATGGTGGGATGATCCGGTTTTCCTGCACAAGAAGAAAAAAACAGGAAATAATGTTTGAAACACCTTTAAATTGTGTCCAAATGAAACCATAAAGTAAACGATTGTTGATCTTACCAAACACCTTCAGCGTTGTGTGCCCTTCTACATGGTCCTCTGAGATACTTTTAACGCGACAGATGAAGTCCACCTCATCGCTCAGCTGTACATCCCTGATGCTCAGCGCCACTTCGGCAGGAGTTTCCGTGTCGTTCACGCTGATCCGGTTTGCGTACGGAGAGGTTCTGTTTATAGTGGTCATCATTCCGACCTGCTCGCAAATTTTATGCCTTTCTCCTGTGCCTTTCCGCTACGAATTCACACAAATTTAAGAATTTGTAAAGATTACACAGAAACTGAACTATTTGGTGTGTGTGTTGATGAGCTTCCATGAAACTCACAAAGAACCACTGGATGTCCATGCTGCCTCTGCCTTCTTCTGAAGTATACCGACAGGTGATCTTCGCCGTTCCTTTCAGGGCCACCTCCACCGTGTCATTCATGTACACCTCCAGAGCGGCCCATGCTGAAAAACAGGGCGTCTCATTGTCATCTCAGTGCTTTTACCAGTGGGACCCCTGCTCCAACAATCCCAGTAAGGTTTTTTAAAGCGCTCATTCACTAGTTTTTTTTTTAAATAATAATAATGCATTGAACTTATATAGCGCTTTTCAAGACCCCCAAAGGTGCTTTCACACACTCTCACATTCACACACTGCTAGTGATGGTAAGCTACTTGTAGCCACACCCGCCCTGGGGAGGTCTGACAGAGGTGAGGCTGCCATTTGGCGCTGCCGGCCCCTCTGACCTCCACTACCACAGGCAAGTTGGGTGAAGTGTCTTGCCCAAGTACACAACTGCAGGATACCCCTGGCAGGAGCTGGAATCGAACCCATGACCCTCCGATCATGAGGCAACCCGCTCTACCTCCTGAGCTACTGCTGCCCCAGGAGCTGTGGTCTCTTGTGAGTCCTTTTCTGTGGGGAAAAAAGCTCTGGTGCTCCTGTTTCAGGAAGTACTGGTTAGGGTGGGTGGCAGAAAACTGCAAGATTTGGATTCTTACCCATTGTTGGTCTTGATACTCAGACACCTTGTCTCTATAACAGCTAACAGCAACTCAACTCTTCCACTGCCTTCTCACGCTCTGCAGCTACGTGGTTTATCACCACAAATAACACAAGCCTGAAGGAGTTTGGCCATATTGTGGAGTTGCCAATGCTAACATTTAGCTTCCACTAGCCGAGACGTGCTCTGGTCTCTTCTGGCTGCAAAAATCAACAACAGTCTAAACTGTTGTGAGCCAAGATGGATGAGTCCATGAACGCTGAGTGGCTTTTTCTGAACAGAGCATTTCTCCGTCTGTTTTCCATCAGCAGCTAAAGCAGGAAGTAGGAGAAGGCTGTGTTCATGCTCAGCGTGAATGTAAAACCATTTTAAAAATGATACGTAAAAATCTGTTTCTCAGTGAACTTGCTCTTTAAAGTAATTTGTCTGACATGGAACAAAAATATTTTTGCATTTCAGAAAATTTACAAACTTTACATGTTTTCCATTAAAATCTTCCCATAATGCATGATTCTTATTGCTGTAATGTTTGTAAAATGTCTTGTTTATTCAAATGCCAACATCGACCAACCAGCAGCACCATCCTGCCTATAACGGTTAACTGAACAGATTCAGGGGCGAATTTTCATGTTAACCGCTCACAGTTAAAAGACTTGAAGCTTTTCTGCATCAACAAAATCAAAGAAGCCCTGGAGGTAAAATAAAGACAGAAAAAAAGTCATGGCAGGTCAGACGGACGGCGGAGATGCTATGACAGGAATGAGGAGCCCACCCATCTCCACATTAATGTGCTGCATTCCAACATGTCACCCTCTCCTAGGAAGAAAGACCCGATTTACAGGCGGCATAGAAGCTTCTCTGTTCCGTCCTGATCCGTCTGTGAGGAACCAATGGCTTCCCCATTTAGGGTCTGTCAAACGACACATCCTTCTGGTTTATTGAAGGGATCTTTAAGATGTCAAGCTGACTTGAAGCCTGGAGCTCATGAAGCTGTCGGCGTTTTTGTTGTGAATCAGCTTCACGTCTTTGGCTCAAAGCTCCTTGGAAATTAAACATTTCCCTCCAATCCTCTAACCCTGCAGCAGAAAAAAAACACCTCACTTCTCCTTTCTTGCCCAGCTGTTTGGATTCTTTGCGCTAGTCCACCTGTCCCTTTCTCCGTCTCTCAGCTCTGTGTTGCTGTTTACTTCGGTCTAATGGAGCTGGACGGATGCTTTCCTGTTAAAGCAATCCAATTAGTTTCGGCAACAAAGACATTTCCTGGCCATTAGGGACACCAGCTTGCTTTGCAGCATCCCACCCCTCATCTGAACTGGAAACATATAAAAATGTGCAGCAATTATCCTCCACTTCAGGCTTTCACAGACTTCTCTTTCAGCCCATCTGACAGCTGACAGCTAAATCACATCATATTAGTAACTTGACCGCTGTTTGTCCCTACGATGCTTACATCAGGGCCTCTGATCAATTTCTGATGATGAGAGCATTCTGGACTTCATTTAATAATATTTCTAAATCAGTATGACAGGGGAAAAGATGAGCGTCATCTCCACTGACTACAAGGAAAACAGTGGCTCTCCACCTTCAAAAGGAAACACCCCATGTTGTGTGTTTCCTACAAAGTCTTTATTTTTAGATCCTAAACTCCTGACAAGTCAGAACAAATCTACTTTAGTAATCTCAGTTAACTGATAAAAGGCACATTAAGGGAGTAAAAACATCTGAGAGGTGATTGATTCTTCTCAGCTTTCAGCATCACAAGAAAAGCTGAGTTCTGCAACAGATGGTCAACACAGAGTTCTGGCTTGAGTTTCAGAAGAAAAAAACTTGAACCTGCTAATTGTCAGACATTTATTTATCTGCTTCACAAATGTGTTCAATGTTTGACCCTTTAAAGCAGGCGTGATTGAACATTAGTACCTAATTAATTGAATAAAAGGCAATCCATTACTTTATTTATCTTCTTTGGATCCAACAAAAAATAATCTCTGGATTGTTCACTGAACTATTTCAAAACATTTCAGGGTAAATTCTTAAGCCTCTAACACCAATTGTTTGTGCATCTATAAAAATAATCCGAGGACTAAGCTAATTGTGGAGTTTCTGTAATGTCTCAATAAATTAAGTAAAAAAAAATGGAGTGTTAAATTAAAGGTTGGTTTCATTTTGAAACTATATTTTTGTCAATTACTAGTAAATAAGAAAATCTCTACAAAAAATTATATCTTCAAACATAGTGAGAACAAATAGGATATAAGAACATTTTTGACATCTATGTACACGATTTGCTTCATTATTGACTCTCTCTCTCTCTCTCTCTGTCACATACACACACACAGGCACACACACACACCTGTCACCATTGATTTTAAGTCTTAGCCACATGCAGATAATTTTTTTCATGTCTCCTATCACCAATATGCAGATGACATTCAGCTGTACTGTTCATTTAAGGATTCTGTGTGTTCTATAAACTGAATTACTAGAGTGTCTATCAGCCATCACCAGCTGGCTAGAAGATGACTTCCTTCATTTAAACTCTGAAAAGACTGAATATCTGATCATTGCCTCTAAGAGCATGGTTACCCTGATTGCGTAACAACTTGGTCATTTAACCATTGCTGTCAAGTCAAAGTCTAGGACTTTGGGTGTTGTTTTTGACCAAGGCCACTCCAAAACACTGGTCCGAAATTGTTTTTATCATTTAAGAAATATCTCCAAACTGTGAAGGTTGGTGTAAAAAATGAACTTGAAATGGTCATCCATGCCTTTTTCGCCTCCACTCTACATTACTGTAGCACACTCCACATGTTTTTTTAAAAGTAAGCTATTGACTGCCTTCAGTTGGTCCAGAACTCTGCAGCAAGGCTCCTAACTGGAGCATGTAGACAAGCTCACAACACTCCTATTCTGATGTCTCTGCACTGGTTACCCGTTAACTTTAGAATATTGATCACAAGTTTCAGGGCTCTACCTGATCAAGCTCCTCCCTATATCACTGAACTGTTAAAGCCTTATGCTCCAACCCAGCCCTTAGGTCCACACACCAGAACCTTCTAGAAGTTCCAAAGACCAGATATGAAAGTCAAGGTGATCGCTCCTTCCAAGCTGTTGCACCCTGATGTTGGAAGTGTATTGACAGTCTGGACACTTTTAAAAAGCAACTGAAGAACCTTTCATTTAATGCTGCCTTTACCTAAATCTTTTATGTTTTCTTCATCTATTTAATGATATTTTTGGATTTTATTATTCACTTGTTTGATCATTTTTATGTTGTTTTGGCTTTATGATCATTTCATGTTAGTTTTGGGGATCTTTGTGAAGCGCTTTGTGACTTTTCTTTCTGTGATGAGTGTAAATAAACATTTAAATGGTAAATGGCCTGTATTTGATATAGCACCTTCTAGAGTCCTGGAACCCCTCAAGGCGCTTTACAACACACTCAGTCATTCACCCATTCACACACACATTCACACACTGGTGGGGATGAGCTACAACGTAGCCACAGCTGCCCCGGAGCGCGCTGACAGAGGCGAGGCTGCCGAGCACTGGTGCCACCGGTCCCTCTGACCACCACCAGCAGGCAAGGTGGGTTAAGTGTCTTGCCCAAGGACACAACGACAGTGACAGACTGAGCAGGGCTCGAACCTGCAACCTTCCGATTACGGGGCGAGCACTTAACACCTGTGCCACCGTCGCCCCACACCTGTATTAAGTTTACAAGTGTCGCTGAGCAAAAACGGATGTTTCCAGCTGTTCAAAAATAAACGTCTCACCTTACAAACAAAGCGGTTTGTAAAACAAAGACAGCAGAAAATTAGAAGATGGATGAGCCCCACTGGGATCAAACTCCTAACAGCAGCAGATAAGATAAAGGAAGTCATAACAAACACAATGTGAGAAAACAATCTGTTTCTGTCAGTGGAGCGCAGAGAGAAAACGTCCGGATCCACAGGAGATTCTGTGGAGGCGTTTCCACACCTACTACTGTATGTGAATATTAACTAGGAGTGGAGCATTTAAAACGTTTCTGAGCTTCAGAGCTGCAGTCGTCCCTCTGACAGGAAGACAGGTGAGACAAATACGATCTGTGTGGACTTTCTCCTTCCCATCGGCCCTCACCGTCTGCTGCCTGGCATCGAGCCCAGACCACAGATGGGCATCAACGAGGGAGAGAAGAGGGCGTTCACCTTCAGCACTTTAACCACCATTCAAACCAGATTACTGTCCGGAGCTCTAATTGATGTGAAAAGAAGGGCAGCTCGGGAGCAGAACCATAATTACTGCTGCAGAACTCTGGAGGATTCAACGTTTCCTAAAGTTTATTCTTTTTCTGTTTGCTGTCAGAATCTTTCAAAGCAAGAGAAGAACAAGAAGAGTGTAAATGATCTCTTCCTGATCTTTTTATCCTGCTCTTTGATCACCCTTGACCAAATGAGGGGAAAACGTGATGTCTTTACA